GCGGGCCGCGAGTGGGATCCGGCAGGGCCCGGCGTGAAGGCCCTCAGGTTTGTGTTTGTGCTGAGGAGGGTCCCGGAGGGAGGGTTAGCCCAGGTGCAGAGGAATGGCCTTTGGGAAAGGCTTTCTGTTCTAGTGAGGAAGTCCAGGACTCTCCAAGACTTAGAATCCAGGGCTTCCGGAGTTCCAGCTCTCTGCTGGCTGCTTGCTTTTGCATTTGAAGATCCTATTCAGAATAGTAGCAGGCTAGAGGATGTCACTGGAATAAATTAAATTTACCTAAATACCCGCCGTAATTGAAACTTGTGAAAAAGTTGTGCACATTGTGTACATAAGTGTCAGAAAGGACACTGACTTCGCAAGTGTTAGTCTTTTCCTGTGCCATTTCTGTTAAGAGGACTTTATTCTAAGCATCAGGTTGCTTTTGTGTTTTTCCACCTGTTTTAAAGGTGGAATTCTGCTTCTCATACCATTCCGCTCTTTACCTGCCTAAATTACTTAGGTACCAAGCTTGTTCAGGAAGCCCTCTTCATGCTTGTGCTGAAAAGTGTGGACATGGCTGCTTGGGGTACACCCAGCTGCCTTGATCTGACTCTAAATACATTATTTTTACATACATCTGAAATCGCTTCTAGAGAACTTGACATAATTTCATGGAAAGGTGTTCATTTTAGTGTATTACAGGTATGCTTCTTATGATTTAAAAGTTTTGGAAATGAGAAGTACCTACATTAAACTCTTAGCTGTAGATTATTTGTTGCAAGATTCCTAGATTGGAATTAACAGTAGGGAGGACTTGGTCTACCTCCATTTTATTGTACAAATAAGGAAATTGACACCCGGTGAGATAAGATCTGTGGGTTGTCATTGAGAATAAAGAAGTCTGTTTTTTGACTGAGTCCATTCTTTTCTTTCTGTTTTAGTGTGATCACTGGTCCATTTAGTAGGACTAGAAACTAACAGGAAAGGATTTAGTGTATGTTTGTAGAGAACTGAGTTCAGGCTTCTTGTGGTCTTGTTGGCATTGTGCTCTTTTCATCTCCACTGTACACCTGCTTCCAGCCATTAGCTTTGTGAGATGCACTTTGAAAATGTTTCAGGATGTACTTTTCTAATGGTGTCCAGCAGTGTTCTTTTGTTGTTGTTCGGTTGTTGTAGGAAGGAGGAAAATAGCAGTTTAGGTAGTTGTAAAGATCAGATGGAATAACTAAATTGGACACTGACTTTACTGGTGGTCGTGGCCAGGTGCTTGGAACCTCAGGAGTTTATGTAGATGAATGCAATCATATTAAGAATATTTTTATTTAAATTGAGAGTTTATGGAAGAGGTATTTTTGTATATAATGTTAAGAACATAGATTTGCAGGCAAGCAGACCTGAGTTTCATTACTGCCTCTGGGGTTGAGCAAGTTATTTCTCTATTTGTTGTTGTTTGAGACAGGGTCTTGCTTTGTAGGGCAGGCTGCCCTTGAATTCACGGTATAGCCTGGGCTAGCCTCGAACTCATGGTGATCCTCCTCTTTTAGCCTCTTGAGTCCTGGGATTATAGGCGTGTGCTATGACTACTTACCTGCCTTGATCCTCAATTTCATTATCTGTAGAACAGATGTAGTAATGCAGTTGTTAGAATTAAATGAGGTATATGAAAGGTCTGGCACTCAGTAGGTATTCATGAAGTAACCGTTACTGTTACATTTGAGCTTTACTAATATGTTTGTAGATTTCTGGCTAACTTTCTAACTAGAATTAATTACTAAAACAACAACTATTGCAGGAAATTATTTGGTACTAGGGAGATTATTGACCTGGAAACTTAAATTATGGACTGATCGGCTTATGTAGTTTCAGAGTTTCATTTTATGTTTCTATAAAATGAGAGTGTAAGAAATTTATGAATTTAGGAGTTACTATAGAAGCATTTTGAGAAAAGGACCCCATCAGGAAAGACTGGAAAATTGAACTGAGAATGTAGTGTGAAAAGGACCTGAGGATAGAAGATGTAAGAATATATTTGAGGTTGAATATTTTCTAGAAGAGTCTTAGAATCTACCATATTCCCGGGATTTCTCTTTTCTTCCTCAAAATGCATATATTTGTTTAGAGTACTGGTGAAGAAGCAGCAATGGATTCCTTAGACCATATGCTGACGGATCCTCTGGAACTTGGTCCATGTGGAGATGGCCACGGCACCAGGATTATGGAGGACTGCCTATTGGGAGGCACCAGGGTCAGCCTGCCTGAAGACCTTCTGGAGGATGTGAGTAGTAACATTACAAACGTTGCCCCTCTGCCAGCTTCCCCCAGGTAGAACCTTTCCCACTCTGCAAGTTTTCAATTTTTTGAGATCCTTGTTCTTTTTTTTTTTTTTTTTTTTT